ATTGTATCTATATCTATTACATTGAATGAAGAATCAAGAGCTTTCTCAATAGATTTCTTCAGTTAACGGAAGTTAGTTATTGTAACAAAATCCAACTAACTCTAACTACTTTTTGAATCCCTAACTAACTGTGACAACTGACTATTTGGCTCTTTTCCCTGAACTCAATTCCCTTTCTATAATAATCGCGCATCAGTGTTTTAAAAAATTCTATATTAATACAAATAATACATTTAAACCTAATAAATCAATTGGACAAGGATAAAAATTCGAACATGAAACTAATAAAGTTCAATCGTTGATATTATTGTGCTTTTATATTTATAATAATAAATATTGCTTATTATTATAGGTGAGTTAAGTGTATTTTGATGATAGTAGTTTCATCACCAAATATCGGTACAAAGCGTTCAGATTCTTACCATCACACCAACATATTCTTTGCAGAGGAAACCAGATTACCAATTTAAGTACTAAGGTTGATATTAATATATCAACAGGCTTTATATTTGTTACATTTTTTTTTTCTCAATAACATTAGTATTTGTTACATGTAGAGTTTAATGTAGCAGTTCAAAAGTTGTTAGCAAATTGGAAGCATAGATTTCGAGTAAAAGCAATTTTTGTTGGATTTTGCTCAAATTGTTCATTTGTCCTTCAACTTAATTCCTGGCATGCATGATATCACCTGCTGCATGAAAGAAGATAAAGTTGATGATGTAAGTCAAGCTAAGAGCCAAATTAATGGTATTTTTAATGCAAATCAAGTAGTAGCAATATATAAGGGAATATAAAGTTGTGTCTTAGTTAACTCAGAATTTCCTAGAGTTGGGAAGTATCGACCAAAGCTGCGTACGTCAATCCTCTTTCGCACTTGCTTTTTAACACTAGTGCTTAAATTCTCCGCCTGTAATCTAAAGAATCCTACATTCAAGATTCATATAGCGCATATTCTCATCGATCTTCTGTGTGATTTTCGAGCAGTGAATTTATGCACCTTTTTTTTTATTATATCGGTATTCTGAAATCTTCAACTAAATAATAATGGCATACTTGCCTAGAAACCTCCAACCAGATGATGCAAATCCCCCATGGATGAACAAAGCTGATAACGCTTGGCAATTGACTTCAGCCACTCTCGTCGGCCTTCAAAGTGTTCCAGGTATTAGGACTCTTATTGTAGATAATATTGTTAAATGATATACTCATGTCACAAAACATTCTCGATATAGAGTAAGCAGAAGTCGTTGGTTCATATCTCATTGCCACTTAAAAAGCACAAAAAAGTTTCCAAGTGTTTAATTGGTCCATGAGAAAGAATCAGACCCACATGTCTGAACGTGTTGAGACACATGAATAGCTCTGATATCATGTTGAATTGTGTGACCATTTCATCTGAAAGTATAAATAGTTAGAAAGAGCACCCTTTTGATTATATAATTATATTAATGTCTCAATACCAGGTCTTGTCATCCTTTATGGTAGCATCGTCAAGAAGAAATGGGCTCTCAACTCGGCTTTGATGGCCCTTTACGCTTTTGCAGCAGTCCTTGTTTGTTGGGTTGGATGGGGTTATCAATTAGCCTTTGGTGACACATTAGTTCCGTTTCTTGGAAAACCAGATATTCATGCTTTGGACCAGAAGTTCCTAATGAGTCAAGCATTTATCGGCAAGTATCCAAATGCTTCCATGGTTTATTTTCAGTTTGTGTTTGCAGCCATCACTTTGATTCTAATAGCTGGTGCCTTGCTTGGAAGGATGAATTTTATTGCATGGATGTTGTTCGTTCCTCTTTGGCTTACTTTTTCTTATACAGTTGGTGCTTTTAGTATTTGGTGCCCTCAAGGTTGGTTGTTCCGAATGGGAGTTATTGACTATTCCGGAGGTTTTGTTATTCACCTTTCTTCTGGTGTTGCTGGTTTCACTGCAGCTTATTGGGTATGTATCTCACTCGAGATGTCACCATTTCTGCGAGCAAAGATACATAAGAAACTTCTATTTATAGGCATTTGGAGCGTTATTTGGACTATAAGATCAAACCAGATTATAGCGCAGGATTCCATAAGTAATAGTCAACAAATTGGGAATCATTTATCAACAAATTTTTTTTCCTTCCATTTGAACTGATATCAATAATCCTTTTAGTTGCTTTAATACATGTGTAACTGTTGTAGCTCGTCAATAAGAAATTTCTGTTGAAACTTGGAAGTCAAATAAAATATTGTTCTCTCTAGATATATACTATGAGATTCTAAAGGATATAGAAAATATGGATGTAGGTCGGACCAAGGGCGCCAAGAGACAGGGAGAGGTTCCCACCAAATAACATATTGTTAATGTTGGCTGGTGCTGGCATTCTATGGATGGGATGGACAGGATTCAATGGCGGCGATCCATATGTTGCTAGTCTTGATGCATCCTTAGCCGTCCTGAACACGCATGTCTGTGCTGCTGCGAGCTTGCTCACTTGGCTAATGTTAGACATTCTCTTTTATGAAAAGCCTTCTGTCATTGGCGCTACCCAAGGGATGATCACTGGCTTAGTTTGCATTACTCCTGCAGCAGGTAACTAAACTAAGGCTTTAAGATATAAATCATCTACCAAATGCTAGCTTTTCTTCCTGTAGAACCTCAGGTCTCACCTATAAGAGGGTTGAATTTAGAATTTTAACGCAGCGAGTGCACATCTTAATATCACATACTACCTATTTTTAAAGTTTTTAAAGAACTTTCAGTATGCGTACGTTTAGTCCAAGCTTAGACATCGGATGCATATGCATTCACTGCTTATATTCTTGATCTGCCTAAACAGAACACCAATATATAGTGGTAAATGTAGAATTTAATAGCAGTGAGTGTATTTGTAGTCCTAGATTGATATAGTAGATACACGTGCGCTCATTGCATATATTCTGGATTTCCCTCTGCCTGTAATTATTGATGCATGAACTCTAGAAACAGAACACCAATGTTAAGACCTATAGACTTGGACCATGAGAAAAAAACTGTGGGCCAATGTGTGGTGGTAAATGATTAAAGAATTCTAACATGAAAATTCAACAGGGGTGGTGCAAGGTTGGGCAGCAATACTAATGGGGTTACTGTCCGGATGCATTCCATGGTTCAGTATGATGTTCTTACACAAGAAAATGTGGTTACTAAAACAAGTAGACGACACCATGGCAGTGTTCCACACACACGCGGTAGCAGGAACCTTAGGCGCGATTCTTGCTGGTGTATTGGCAAATCCAAGACTCAGTCGCATCTTCTACATGGTTGATGATTGGCCAAAGTATATAGGCTTTGCTTATGGCATTCAAAGTGGGAGATCGCGTGCAGGGGTCAGGCAATTATGGGTACAATTGATAGGCATTGGATTTGTTTTTGTTTGGAATGTGATAAGCACTAGTGTGATTTGCTTATTAATTAGGATGGTGGTTCCTCTGAGGATGACAGAAGAAGAGGTAAGTGAAGGAGATAATGCAGTACATGGAGAGGAGGCGTATGCACTGTGGGGTGATGGGGAGAAATTTGACAACTCAAGGCTTCAGTTAGTTCATGAAATTGAAGAACCTCCCTTGTCCAAAAGTGGCTATGGACTTTGATTGGATAGAATCTGCTGCTACTGTTGTTACATGTTAAAATATTTGTCAAGTTAAATAATTTTCAAGCCTTTTCGTCTTGTAAGATGTCCTCATCCAAATTTATCAACTCTATACTGTTTTTTACCTATACCCTTTATAGTTTATAAATGAAAGAGAACGATCCGCTCAGTATTCAACACCATCATGCTGGGGACTTTCCTTATCAAAATTGAAACATCTTCCTTTATCTTCTTTTTTTTGTAACATGACATGATATTTCCATGAATGGCGAAGTGGTAGATCTCACATCTCTAATATTTATGGTGTTCTGATGTTTGCTGGATTTCATTCACATTTTGAGTTGACATAACTAAATTACTTTTTTCTTATATGTTAATGTGAAGAAGAAAAGTCATTACTGAATTCTACAGTATTTTATTGCAACTTGACGCACCCAAGAGTCTGGGCTAGCAATCAATAAACTAGCTGATTTCTTTCAAACTGCCTAAGCTTTAGTGGACAAAGTTACTCCGTATCTGTGCATGGGGGAAGGCTGGTACATCAATATTCAGTGTCAGTGATGCAGAAATGTGCTCTCTCGGTCGTTAGCTAATGAAGTTGGCAGACAACCTAGGTCCACCCTTGCTACCCCTGAACCCCTACAAAAGATTTTTTCACTCTTTACCAAAACAAGAATTATTGCATTGCCCAATAGGCCTTAGCAGTAAGAATATGCAATACCTGTCTAAAGTCCATCAAAGGATTCATGAAACCATCTTTCAGTTTCAACTATATGCGCACAGAAGAAGATACGACACCAAATATCCAATCTTACTCGCCTTCTGGATCCTTCTAGTCGGGGGTGGTGGAGGGCTAGAAGCCCAGGAACGGGTTCGGATGAACCTAGTAGTTTTTGCTTAAACAACGCATTTGTGTTAAAATAAATCATTACATATGTACAAATTTGTGTATAATATGCTTGTTGGTGATCATCCAAAATTGTGAAGTTACACTTCAGACTATAACCTCAAGCTGGATGAGATGGGAGACAAAGTCTTTGAGAAAAATTACTTATTGGACCAACCACATCTAACTGTTAAAGGAAATTGCTGCAATCACACTTGTGCAACTTCAATATGTTAGAAGCATTCTTTGGTTCTTCATTACCATATATGTTCATTTCTGATTGTCATACTACTACTAAGAAATGGCTGCTCGAAATAATTTTGTGACAATGTAATTAGCCCTTATGACGTTTGTTTGGGTTCATATAAATATCTATTCTAGTTTATGTGGAGCAATAATCAGCACGGTTTGTTGGATATCTAAGTTTCTGAGCTTACAGTTTACTTCTTCTTTTCCTAATATTCTTATCTTATAGTTTCCCCCCTCAGTACTTTGTTTTCACTTGACCATAAGTTGAAACATATAGCTGCAGTTTTCTTATTTCTTTAGATTTTGGTCTACTTTCTGAAGACAAATTCATACCATGTTTTATACATGCAATCGAATAATTTCAAACAATATTCAGAAATTTATCTGGCAATACATGTATGTGTATGCTAGTTGGTTCCTGTACGTTAACACCTCTTCCAGTTACCGATGTTTTCATATGCTACTCATTCTTTTAAGTATAACAGCTTTCAAATGAAAGTAAATTGAAAGGATATATGAACGGCGTTATGAAATCTCCACATCTTTCTTCTTCACTTGACTGTTGCAATCCCTTTGGTGTTTATTGCTAAGTTTGCCTGCACGAATTTTGTAGAAAAAACATAAGTAACATATTCTGGCACACTCGCTATCCATGATCTTTTTATTTGTTTTCCTGAAATGTCAGCTTGCGTTGGGGTATAACTAAGAAAGTTCAGATAAGCTCTAGCTAAAGAGAAGAAGGGCATAGATTTGAATCTGTTAATAGAAATTTGCAACTATGGTAGTTGAAAAAGTAGTTACATAGTTTGTAGCATGGCTGCACAAATGCTGGATCTGCATCTGGTGGAGGAGGATCCTGCCCAAATATCATCTCACAGCTCATATCATCAAAGTCTGCAAATTAACCAAAGTTGTCAACATCTGTTATATGTAGAATTTGGCTCTTTTATTAGTGTAGGTCAATTAATGGACAGAGTATCAGGAAACAGTATCATTCATTTTTTCCTCCTCCCTCCTTTGCCTCGGTTGGATTCTTGTTGGCATAAACTACAACAGCAACTACGCCTTAAGTTCTAAGCACGTTGGAATCGATTATTGAATTTCCACTGTCCATGTCAATCCATTTAAGTCCGTTTGTGCGAGTTTGCGCACATTGCTAGTCTCAAGCCCGAAGATAGGAGAGCGGAGAGGAATAATAGTAGGTTAACCGTTAATGTAAAATTAGTCAATTTATGATGAACCCGCACGTTGGATTCTTGTTGACCTAAAAATTACAAATTATTGTCTGCTATTTGCTACAATTTTCAACAGCAATATGATGATACTTTTTCAGAATTGCACCTTCAGTGGCATCAAGGTGGGACCTCCCATTGAAGTGATATGCAAAGTCTCCAAGTTCTAGTGCAGATACTATTACTCTTTCAATAGGGTAAGGTGGTTTAAACATATTCTTAGAGGAGGCAAGAAGTCAATATTTCATTATGTGAATGGGAGTCTTGGAGTAACGATAAAGTTGTTTCTGTACGATCTATAGGTCACGGGTTCAAGCCGTGGAATCTGCCAGACTGCCTACATCACACCCCTTGCGATGTAGCCCTTCTTCGAACCTTGCGTGAATGCAAGATGCTTCGTGCATCGGGCTGCCCTTTTATGGCATTGAATTATGTCTTATGCTTGCCTAGATGATCTAATATGATTATAGTATATTTACATCAACTATGGATAATTATACCAAATATTTATCACTATTCTTGATGAAGTAATGCTGTTGAAACTTCTTGCAATACTTTAATATGGTGCATATTATACATGGGTATATAATGATTTTTTTTTAAAGAAAGTACAACTATGTATTATCATTTGGTATACTTACTTGGTACCATGTTCACTGGCATTCCTAATGTATCCTTGATGAACAATTGAGAAGGCAGCTTGCATAGGTTAGTGCACATCCCCACACAATTGGTTTCCTCCAGAAACCTACAAAGTGTCTCATTTGTGAATAATGGAAAAAGGTTTGGGGATTACTATAAAATAATTATGTTTGTTGATACAAATAGTGAATTCATATACCATCACCATAACAATAGACAATCTCAAAGACTAGACTGAGAAATAGATAAATACCTGCATTTTTTGATGTAGACCACATTGTTTTCCTTTCTCCCTTTAAACTCTGACTCTTTCACCTTGAAGCATAAGAGAATGATTAAGAAATCATGGTCACCGGATGAGCCAGAATTTGAAGTTTATGAGTTCTGAACTTGCTAATAAATTTATTGCTAGCGTTCAATTTAGTTATTGGGTTCGCGGAAGATTAAAAGAACTTTGTCTCGCCTACACCAAGAAAAAGGCCACAGATATAAAGTGATGAAGGAAGAAGAGGAGATTGCTTCGCCCTCTTATTCAGCGGGGCTATTAGAGAAGTAGGCGAGTTCGGTTTGAGTGTTCATCGATCGGGTAATCTATACATATTTAATAGATTTTTTAAATAAATACAAGATCAAAGCAAAAGTTATTGAATTCGTCTGAACCCGTAACTAATATTGTAACTCCGCCTGTGATGGTTACTTCCATTTGACTTGCACAGCATTGTGGCAAACATATGTGCACGTGTTAGTGTGAGGTTTTAAGGCCGTGTGGTTGTTTCATTTTTGTTCGTTGTTATTGCCATTGTTATCACTAGTTTAATTGTTATTCCATTCCATATGCACAATATTTTTCAATTTGTCACCTTCTAACAAGGTTCCTGTCACAAATAATTAATGTCTTGGAAATTAGGAACATTTCAGATATTTGAGAGCGTACCTCACAGGGTCCCACTAGCCAAGAGAAGAAGACTGTGGTGAAAGCAGCGCAATACTCTCTTGCCCACTTAGATTGTGGTAGTACCATCTTCATCTGTTTATATATGTTTTACGTATAGGAGCAGCAGGTAATAAGTGAGATAATAATATAAAAATAAGACAAGTTATTGGCTACATGTTTAATAATGTAAAAATTCATTATAACGTCAAAATATATATATATATAAATATTAATTTCGCTACAAAAAAAAGCAAATATATTAATGAAGTATAGTATTCAAGTAACAAGCTACAAGAATTTTCCGTTTCACGTTTTACTTGTCGATTATTTTTAAACATCACCAACATGTCATCCCGAGTCATGACTACCAACATTGTGTAAAGGCATAATAATTACCGATTTGTTGGATAGAAAAATATTTTAAGCAACTAGTTTTATGTGTCTGTCTTTGTCCCATTACCTAATAATTTCTTCTTTTTTTTTTTCTAGAAAAATATTGACGGGCCATTGAGCAGTGGTTGCCTTTAAATTAATTATACTCCTACGAAATAATAGCATTAAAAAAGGGTTTTTCCAGTTGGAAGTGCAATTGGGAGATAGAAGTTAATAACAAGAAAGGATCGATGATAAAACCAAAGTTCTCAGATATGAAGCAAATCAGAAGCATCTAACTTTTGTCCTACTGCCTAAATATTAACGTGCATGTTATAAAATTGCAGGGATAATTTCATAGATGTTTGCTCAACATTCATTTTATTGCGCCAAAGTCACTAATCTATTCACTCAATTTTGCCTAAATATCACAGAAAGTCACTAAATAATTTTTATGTAACTCAAAATTCACTATAACTTTGCTTGTGTATCATATAAAATGTCTCTTTTATTTCGTCCTAATGACCTTCTATGATACTTGGGCAAAGTTGAGTATTTTTTTGTTATAAAAAATATTTTAATAACTTTTGTGATATTTTTGTAAGTTGATTAATTTTTTCGTAATAAAAAATATAATTTAATAACTTTAGTACAATAAAGTGAGTTTAGTGTCCATTCATAAAACTGACTCAGAAATTACACTAAGAAATGATGATAATACGAACATGTTAAAAAAAAAAAAAAGACAGAAGTAAACACATTAAAAATTGGATTTAAATTATATAAATGATAGTATAAAAGAAAAGTTTACGATAATGTAAAAGAAAGTTTTCATTAGTAGTAATATTAAAGGTAAGAGCTTGAATAGCAGATCAAAGTATACATGAAATAAGAACGAAAGAAAAAAAAAGACATGAACTTACCAGGGAAAGAATAGGCTTAGGGAATGCCCATTGAAGAGCTTCAACAACAAGATTTACTTGACGCCTTGAGTTAAAGTTGGAATATACCATCGTTGCAGCCTCCGCCAACCCTTCATATCCACTCTTATTGTTTCTTAATCCTATAAATTAATTTATTTATTTTTAGAAAAAGATAAATTTAAGGAGCTAGAGAGATCAGACTAGTATCTTAATTAATTACCTGTGGTAGCTTGTATACTTTGAGAGAGATGATTAATGGCGAGACGATCGAACCAATTATCTTTGTAAACATTTTTGGAACAACTGGCTGTGGTTGTTTCTGCATTATGATTTTGATTATTTGCAGGTGGCTTCGTTAATATGGAGCATAGTAGATATGGTATTTTTTTGTATTTATAAGTATTCATCTTATTTCTGTTTCTAATGGATGATGTTGAAAAACTACGGTAGGGTAGAACAAGATTTGCCTCCATGAGAGAGAGAGAAAAAGAATAGCAGCTTTGGATTAGTAGAAGAAATGATAATAGACTACAAATTGTGGGAGAAAATGACTCTTAAGTATTATAATTATGGATCAGAAGTACATACAAACAAACAAAAGAGAATGTAAGAGTATATTAAGACAGTCCCTAAATCTTGATACCTCAAGTGAATTAAAAATATTGTCAATACTAAGTTGCTTACATCATGCATCGATTCCACGAGTCCCTTAGAAGCACCTTCCTACCAAAACAAAAATTAATTAAATTAGTTTTATCTTTTCTTAAGTTATAAATGGTTATAGTGTGTACTTTAATAGTATGTAATATCAAGCTAGTTACCATTTTGTCAAATTAGTAATTAATTTATTTTATACATAAAATTTGAACTCTTAAACACCTATACTTTTTCTTTGAAAAAAAAGAGGAGACAAAAAGAGTCGGCAAGAAGATGCCTCTGCCGTCTTCGCTTCGAGAGAGCACTCCCTTCTTCTATTCTCTTCTCTCTTTTTTCTTTCAGTGGAAGACATCATATCATAAAATAGAATCCACCTCTCATCTTATGTCATACACTTTTTTCTTAGTTTGATCGGAAGATAATGATATACTTTTATATACTTAGAAACAATTTAACACATAAATAGCTACTCCTATGAATTATCATAGACCATAAGTTTAATTTTGTTTTCCTTTTCTTTGATTTTATGCTAAATATGCTCTTTTTTTATAACCACATGCAATACTATATAGTGTCCCCTAAACTCCATTTCATTTATTTAGTTGATACTTCCAAATCAGTGCAGCCTAAGTTTGGCGTTTGAGTGCTCTCCATTCCGAATCTTCGCAATGGCCTATTGTACACCACTCTTAAGCTTAATACAATAAAGTCAATCTCAAACTCAATATTAATATAGTAACTTCAAAATCCATTGTTGCCCAAACATAGGCTCTGTGATAAAAGGATGCAGTTCAGCCGCCGAGACAAAATCACAAGTTCATGCTGTAATTGATTCAAAAGAAGCCCTTTCCTAGACAAATGCAGGTACACCTTCTTTATGTTGTCACAAGATTGTAGATCTTCTAAACAAACAACTAAAATCACAAGCATTTACAACAGGCCAACGACATACATACCAACAAACAACAAGATGATATAAATGTCAAATTAACATTTCCAGTGTCCTCTACATCCTACAAGTTTACTTGATCAAACATGACACTGAGAAGCTCAAAATGTTCCTAAATTGAATTACACAAGACTACTAATATCAAACCAGAGAACAGAACAAAAGACACTAACACAAACTGTCATTAAGTCAATAGACAACAAATTTAAAAGCGGGAACATTTCACTCCTTGGTGGTCTTGTTTATGAGTGATTTGTGAATGTGAGGGATAACACCACCACCAGCAATGGTCCCTTTAATAAGCGTGTCGAGTTCCTCATCTCCACGAATGGCAAGCTGCAAGTGCCTTGGTGTGATCCTCTTCACTTTGAGATCCTTGCTTGCATTACCAGCCAATTCAAGAACCTCTGCTGTCAGGTATTCCAGAATTGCAGCAGAGTAAACAGCTGCCGTCGCTCCTACCCTTCCATGGGCTGAGGTTCTTGACTTGAGTTGTCGGTGAATTCTACCCACTGGAAACTATAATCCCCCAAACGTGTCAAAAGATCATATCAAGCATTGGACAATATATCTTGGGAAAATTTATACTAATTCTAACACCAGCATTCATAAAGGACTATGTTCATTGTGATAAATGCAGTGAAGATGAAAATGTCCTAGATAGAAACTAATTTCACAAAGCCAAATAACCCTTACCTAAAAGATCTCAGTAAAGCAAGAGAGCATCACATTTAGTCTTATCCTTTATGCAAATTGAATATCACATGACTATGAGAGATTAATATTCTATGATGCAGCATTTGACAAGATAGATATCTTAATGCTATTGTCAGAGTGTTCAGTGTAACATGTGAGTTCAAAGATGAAGTTCATGCCAAAAACTAAAGACATTTTAGCCATATATCAGCAATGTAATTTACACTTTTAAATGTGTTGTTTTGCCTTAAATTACAAAGGACAAGTAAGCAGGCTGGATTTCTACAGATAACATCTATTGTATTATCTGTCATACTTGTCCTTGTACTCTTGGCTATACAGTTTGTATCACACACACACACACACACATATACACAGCTAATAGTCTTTCACTCAGGGCAGATCTATGTAGTAGAAGGGTGAGGGTGCCACACCACCTGGATGCCTGGGTTGAAACTCTGTATATATATTTATACATGTATAAGAAATATTATAAATGTAAGCCATGCCACACTGAGTAACAAAGAAGCTTAACATGCCAGTCTAAAAGTCAAGATTTCCTCCTTGGGGATGCCAGATAGAATCCGATTTTTTGAACTTTGTGAAATATTTTTTAGTATGCTGGCATTTCTCAGTGATCTAATACTGTTAAAGCAAGAGAACCCCTTCTTTGATTAAACATTTGTAAAGCTACTGTCAAAGCAAGAGAACCCTTCTTTGATTACACATTTATAAATGAATGTCATGAATACTAAATAAAATTGTTAAGTTAATTTTTGCTGACTTTCTTTTTTTGTTTGTTATTATTTTGAGCATAAAATATAAATAGTTTTTTTAATTCCAACAAATTATCGAGTGATGGTTCGACCCGCTATGCTGTATGGGGCAGAGTGTTGGCCAGTCAAGAACTCCCACGTGCAGAAGATGAGAGTAGCAGAGATGAGGATGTTGAGATGGATGTGTGGGTGTACCAGGCGAGATAGGATTAAGAATAAAGCTATCTGGGACAGAGTGGGAATAGCCTACGTGGAGGACAAAAAGCGGGAGTCGCGGCTGAGATGGTTTGAACATGTTAGGAGAAGAAGCATTGATGCCCCTGACAGGAAGTGTGAGAGGTTGGCCATGGAGAGTTTGAGAAGGGGTCGAGATAGGCCTAAGAAGTGCTGGGGAGAAGTGATTAGGCAGGACATGGCGTTGCTTCAGCTCACTGAGGACATAACCCTTGATAGGAGGGTGTGGAGGTCGAGAATTAAGGTAGAAGGTTAGTAGGTAGTTTATAGTGTTTAACGATAGACTTAGTAGTGTGCATGTCCCTTCATATTCTTAGATTTTTATTACGATATGTGATTTTGTTCGCCTCAGATATTGTATTCCCTGTTGCTATTATTTGATACTACTTATCCTTTATCTCTCCCTTTTTTCTCTTCCATCTTTCTTACTTCCTTGCTTCCCTCTTCTTCTTCTTGCCCTTCCTGAGCCGAGGGTCTATTGGAAACAGCCTCTCTACCTGCATTAGGTAGGGGTAGGGTCAGCGTACAGACTACCCTCCCCAAACCCCACATGTTGGGATAAAACTAGGTTTGTTGTTGTTAATAATTCCAACAAATGTTTTCTATTCTCCCAAATCTTCTCCTCTCTTCATCAAAACTTTAGTAACCCTTCTCTACTGTCCCAGCTTCTCTCCAGTTGTTGCTTTATTTAAGTAGTTAAAGGAAAAGTGCATGTTCAATCTTGGTTTTGTGTCAGAATGTCAATTTAGAAAAGAAATCTTCTTTGTGGAATAGATATTGTGCGTGTAGGCTTGAGTTGATGTACTGAACCGAGCATGACTTTTTTCATACAGTATTTGGAATATTATTTGTCTATTTTTTATAGAAACTATCTGTCTATATAAAGCAAAAAGATGAATACCCTTGGCATATTATATTCTCAAATCAAATTAGAATCAACGTATACATATACAAGCATAATGAAACAGAACAAGCACTCTAATCTGCTAACATTAGCACTAGTTTCTGTACTACTACTACCATGCTGACAAATACTACTAGCTCTAGTTTCCTACTGTCCTTAGAGAATATATGAGGCAGTATTATTTCTAAGACAAAAATAAACAACATAAATAAACAGAACAGGCAACCACAGTATGAAAAGGAATACAAACTTTCAACCAGGTTTAACTTAATTTTGCACCTTCTATGAAGCCCTTCAACAGAAAAACTCTAAAACCCAAATCTTTTAACCCTTCAACAGAAAAGCTGTAATGAACGAATCTTTTAATGAAAGAAATATTACCTGGAGACCAGCACGTGATGAACGAGAAACAGGCCTTTTCTTGTCTTTCTCTTTGTTGGCTGCTGCAGCTGCTGCCGCCGCTGTTGTCTTTCCTGCTAGCAGTCCTTTGCCTCCTTTCCCCGCCATCTTCAAATCTTAATTAATTATCACATAAATTAAAAAGGCAAGAAAGGAAAAGGTCAGTATTTTGTTTTTGTTTCTCAAATCTTAAAAGGGGGCATAGAAGAACATAAAATTAATAGAGAGAGGGAAAAACTTATCAAAATTCGTGTCCATAAGATGAAGTAAAATCTTATTATTATTTTTACCCAGGAATCAAACAATTGAAGACAGATCTTTACTCCAGGTTAGCTAAGAGAAAAGGGTAATATTTGCTGACTAGCAACAACAAACAAAGATTTACCGAAGATAAAAGATAAACGAGAAGAAAGACGAAGACAAAAAATTAGGGTTTTAAGCCAAACCTCTTTTTCGAAAAGCAAACTACAACTGGGAAACAAATTACAGAGAGGAGAGAAGAAAACGAGCGTACCTTCGAACTTTCGGTCTAAGCAGAGAGAGAGAGAGAGAGAGAGAGAGTTGAGAAGAAGATAAAGAGACTAGTCAGATCTGTAATATTTCCTTTTACTGCAACAATTTATTGGAATTTTGGATTGTTGTGAAGTTTGCCGCCTACGTTTTCCTTTTGGGTGGGATTTCTGAAAATTTTGGACTCTTTTTAAGGTTTCAAATTTTCGTTGCTCTACTAATTTACCCTCCTCTTTTACCCATCTTTGGGTGGAATACTCATGGCCCAACCCAAACCTTCTAGCCCAAACCCGCATAGTCCAATTTCAGGGCCTGATATTAAATTCTGGACTCATGGAATATAATAAAGGATGAAATTCAAAAATAGCAAGATTTATAACTGGTAATTGAAAAATAGACACAGTTTTAAGAGTAATCAAAATTTAGTTATTTTTCATGTAAAGATAAATCTGAACGAAAATAATGTTCAAAATCCGAAAAATATTCCAGTATAATATATTGGTCCAGCATAATATGCTGAAAAATTTATACACAGATGCTCCAATCTTCAGTATATTATGCTGGAACTTTTCGTGTGTTGGAGTTTCAGCATAATATGCTGGAAGTTCATACACAGGTGCACCAATCTCCAGTATATTATGCTGGAACTTTTCGTGTTGTAGCAAAATATTGGGTATTTTTCAATGATTTTGCAAACGCTGGCTATTTTTCAATTATCAGTCCGAAACTGGCTAGCCCGTGCTATTTTCACTACAATAAAGATAGGACTTTTAACATATTTGGTCGGTCGACCGAAAATAATTACACATCACTAGCCAAATATATCTTGCCCGTATTTCCTTGTGTTTTGAAGAGGAAAAACAATTTCTCTACCTGCTGCCAACAGTCTTTCTTCGAAATTATTTGGACGGGTCGATCCTCCCATATATATATATATATATATATATAATATATATATATATATATATATATATATATATATATATATATATATTAAAGAACGGCTATAAAATGTAGATTTCTCATAAAGATACTATCTTTCTTTAAGGGTCCTTCACTATATCTTGGTCATCTCATTTGTAGAAAGGTGCACATACTATTATTTTTCACATTATATTATATTATAGAAAAGAAAAGAGAAGTTGGTCGACCGAGGGCAAAATTGCTATTTTACCTTGCCATTTTATTATTTTTTCTATTTCTATTTCTATTTCTTGATCCAGGGTAACTCTCTTATTTGGTTCCCTAAACTTAATCTTTTTCGGCCATATAGTTCTAGAAGCATTTCTCTAATGACAAAAAAACCCTTGGTAGTTTTATTTGCTCTCAAAATCTTAGGCCATCTCCAACCTTACCCCATTTTCCCATAATGGGGGCAATTTTTAGGGTAATAAAGCTCCAACCCTCCCCCATTTTTGTCCCCAAAATGGGGGATGAATAGTGTTCCCTCAAATATGGCGGTACACTATTCATCTCCCCCATTACTATTTATCATTTTTTATTATTATTTTATTATTTAATCTTTTAATTTATCTCTTTATATATACCTAATTATGTTTATGTAATATCTTTATAATATTATTTTTACATCTTAACTTTGGTGTATAATTTTGATAAATTAATTTTCGTGCATTTATTATTTTTATGTAAAATTGTAAGTTAATTTTATTATAAGTTATAATTGTACAAAGAATATATAATTATCTCAAAAAATGAATGGTGCAAATATAAAATATTAAATGTTGCTAAAATTGAAAGGTGCGAATATAAAATATTAGATGTTGCTAAAATTGAAAAGTGAAGATTGAAAATACATTAAAATTGGAAATACATTAAAATTGGAAATACATGACAATTGAAAATATATTAAATTAAAATACATAAAAATTGAAACTACGGTAAATAGCATAATAACTTAGTAGGGAGCTATGTCGTTTCCAGATACACCAAAATCATTATAGTGTTGAGTGAATTGGGCCGATGATTGTTGTGGTTGTGACTGTGAATATTCTTGACTTCTTTTATACATTATTCGTTGTTGTTCTTGTCGCATAAATTCACGACGAGTCGGATGGACCGTTTGATGGATTTTATCCTTATCCTATTTTATCTTCAGAATAAAATATCTCTACACATTATTCAAGATGATAGATTTTATTTTGATCTCAGCCGTCGAGTGGATTTCGTTCTAATCACGACCGTCCGATGAATTTTATCCTTATCCTATTTTATCTTCAGAATAAAATATCTCTCTATAAAAATGAACACCATTTAGGAAAATCATATTCATCCATCAAATTCATTTCTTAAAAAATTAAATATTATTGTTTCCGTCTTCTGAAAATGAATTCTATATGGGAGGTTCATCTAATAAAAATGATGATTCAAATTACTCGTCATCATCATCATCATCATCATCATCACCTTTAATTTCCGATAATGAAGCTGATATAGAAATGTTCAAGCAAGCAATTCAGATGAATAAATATGTGTTGCAATGTTTGGAAGAAAATCAAAATAATGATCCTATCAGAGTTGGCTCCGTTCCAGGTCATTTGGTAATCAATCGAGATCGTGAAGGTGCTGATAATAATTTATTTCTTGATTATTTTTCAGATAATCCCCGTTTTAATGATCGCCAGTTTCGTCGTAGATATCGGGTGTCCCGTAATTTGTTCCTCCGAATAGTTGATGAAGTTAAAGGTCATGATATGTACTTTGTACAACGCGCCGATGCTGTGGGTAGATTTGGATTATCTACTCTACAAAAAATTACAGTCGTGTTTAGAATGTTGGCATACGGTTTGCCAGCGGATGCCACTGATGAATATGTGAAAATTGGAGAGTCGACTGCAATTGAGAGCCTGAATGCCGTAGAGGTTTTTAGCGAGCAGTATTTGAGATCACCAACACCTAACGATGTTGCAAGGCTTCTGCACATCGGTGAACAACGTGGATTTCTAGGAATGCTAGGCAGTCTAGACTGCATGCATTGGAAATGGAAAAATTGTCCAACAGCATGGGCTGGACAATATGCAGGCCGTAGTGGATCCCCAATAATTATTCTTGAAGCTGTGGCTGATTATGACCTTTGGATATGGCATGCATATTTTGGTATGCCCGGCACCAATAATGACATTAATATTTTAGAGTCATCACATTTGTTTTTCGATCTTGCTGCAGGTACTGCTCCTCCCGCCCATTATGTTATTCAAGGATAAGAATATAATATGGGTTATTATTTAGCTGACGGTATATATCCAAAATGGTCAACCCTTGTGCAAACTATTCGTGAGCCACGTTCGGCAAAGAAGAAATATTTTGTGATGAAACAAGAATCATGTCGAAAAGATGTTGAACATGCATTCGGAGTTTTGCAACAACATTTTGCAATTGTTGCAGGACCCTCGCGTTTTTGGCAGAAAGAAGTGCTACATGATATAATGACTACATGTATTATACTGCACAACATGATAATCGAGAATGAGCGTGATCTTAATGCACCAATTCAAGATGATTTGGAAGGTCCAACTCCAACAGTAAAAATGGCAGTAGATGAAAATCAACGATTTCAAGAATTTTTAGCTCGACATAGAAGAATTAAGGACAAAGATACTCATTTTGCACTTCGTAATGTATTAATAGATCATTTATGGGAGAATACTAGAGGTTGAAGTTGAATATTTATGTAGTATTTAGAATGAATTTTATCGTTATGTAATATGTATTTAATTAAACTTGTATCGCAATGATTTCACTTTTATTTGAATTATTAGTTAATCTATAATAATTGCTTACAAATTATATTATTTAAAATTTTATGAAATTGTTTTAATGGAAATTACAAATTAATAAAAATAAAAGATTGGAATTTGTTTAATGAAAATTAAAAAATAAAATTGTAATGAAAGATAATAATATAGTAATATAGAAGAGAGAAAAGAATATATAAAAAATTTGGAGAAAAAATGGGGGAATGGTTGGAGTAAGTTATCTCCAAAATGGAGAAATCCCCTTTTTTGAGACAAAAAATGAGGTAAAGATTGTAGATGCCCTTATAAGTACTCTCCACACTTTCAAGGATTAATCTTTGACTTCTCATCATCATCTCAGTGGAATCTCAGGTAAGCTTTTCTCTCAATTGTTGCTTTAATCTTCCATTTCTTTTCAAAATTTTCAATTTCATGGCTGATATTCATGGTTGTTTTTCTTCTATGTTATTGCTCATCCGTTCATTACCTTCCTTTTGTTTCTCTCTTTTATCCTTAAAATGTTCCTTTTGCATGATCTCTTTATTTTTTTATATTTTCAAAGAATAATTTTTTCAGTTTTTTACATCTTTTTAGTTGGGTTGTTCTAATTTCAGGTATGATTTCTCTCCATTTTTGCCCCAGTTTCTTTCAATTTCTCTTCAGACCTCAAATTTCATTGCTGGAATTCGTGGCTGATGTCTTTATTAAAGAAAGGGCTAGAGTGTCGGAAGGTTTGCTATGCGTAAAATGTAGTTGAAGATCGGGGGTAGATAACGATGAACGAACAGATTATTGAAGTAATTTTATTTGCTTTTGACTTCTTTTTGAATTTCGAAAAGTATCCCTTCAAATTCTGTTATACCAATCTGAATGCTTTATTTTTTCATTTCTATTGATTAAAAAGGTAAGTTTCTGTTTCCATCTCCCCCCCATTTCTTCCACCCTCTCTTCTTTGTTACTATCTTTCATAGTATAGAAGCTTTATTATAGCTATCATTTGATTGAAAAGTTTATAATTATAGATGAGCATGTCTTAAAATATTCTGCTTCCTATTGTCACATTAGTTCTTTTTGAATGAGTGCATTCTAGTTGGCGTTACTTCAGTATTCTTTGACGAAAGAGTAATCATCTAGGTAGAGAGAATCAATATTGTTTCATCTCCTCTCTTTTTTTACACGATAAGAAAGAAATTTGGGTTTTCAATGCATCTCCATGCTCAACGAGATGCACCAACATCGGGATGTTTTACGTCTATCTTATAGAGTTCCTGGTGGAGCTTATCTAAGTCTCGGTTGAGAACTCCGATGGAGTTTACTCTAAGTCTCGGTTGACAAATCCGATTGTATACATTCACACAGTCAATTGATAATGACGTATTTGCAGTTAGATGTAAGTTTGAATTTTACCTTTGCTCAATTGATGTTTTC